CGGAGGAACGTATGGCCACACTTTCCCTTTTTAAAGTTTCCCTAACTCTTCCTAGGCTAATCCTTTTTCCTATTATTAGATCCAATAGATTCCATTGCAAACCAAAATTGTTGCACCAAAAATTTTCCAATTTCAAATATAAATTGCACGCACTTTTTACACACGAATATTAATAATATTCTCGATTAAAATTTTCTCGCATAAATAATAATAAACCACGTGTAAGCATTCTCGATGGTGGTCTTCTCAGAACGTGACAAGAAAGAAGAAACCACGAGATGGATACAGAGGAAAAAAGAAGAAACGATGATCTTTTCGTTGATCTTTGCCACAGAGAAGCTAATTAGTTTGTACAAGCCAGTTTCGAAACGTGACACGTTCAATTTGTTCGCACATTATTTTCCTCTTCTTCTTCTTCTTCTTTTAATTATCGTAATTTAAAATCTGAATTTCTGAAAAATATCGAAGGAAGAAAAATCGCGAAATGAAAACGTTTCCTTTAAAATAAGGAGAGGGGGGAATAATAGCGTCCATTGAAATGGAATTTTTGGAGAAAGCTTCGGAGAAATAACGATTTCAACAACGATCGGTGTTGGCGCTCGCATTTCTCGTGGAGACCACGCGGTGAGCTTACACCCTCGCCGCATAATGCAAGCATCGGCCTCGTTAGGGGGATCTGCACCGTATTGTCGACGCTAACAAGCGCTAAATAGAGCGCAGGGTGGACACTCCGCCACCTTGCTACCTTCGCACACACAGATATCGCCGGGCAAACGACGAATTTAATGAAAAATTCTTTACAAGCATCGAATATCGTCCGCGTAGAGATGCTGGAGAAACATTTGGACATTGGCAGTCTCGTTACGTAATAGCATAATCGTTAGAAACATAACAATACTATTGCTATTATAATTCAGATTATCGTATTATTTCTTTGATATCTATTTGCTTACTCGAACGAACGAACGGTGAAATAAAAGTAATAGGCGATAGTATTTTCTTGGAAATAAGGTAATAATGTAAATTTGTAAAGTAGACAGACACTTGAATTCAGTGTCTGATGGTGGAAATAGTTGTGAATAGTGGTGAAAGAGGAGGAGCACAAAGAGTGCTCCTCACCTGGTTCCGTTTATTAAGACGTCCGTTTCCAGGATAGCGTTAAAAACTTGATGGCGCGATCCTTTACGTTTTCCATTATAGGATAGGCAGGCACGCTTCGCAAGAGGGTGGGAATGGAGGGGAGGGTGGTGGGAGGGTGGTAAGAATGGGGGCGCGGGCGCACGCCCCATTATACGTAACACAAATCTGTTCAGCCTTTGACCGATCTGTAACAAACGGACTTTTACACCGGCTGCATGGAACTTTTTCACCTGCCCCCGTCCGACAACAACCCCCATCGGGGAAACCCATCGCTAACGAGCCTTTGAAGCGAGCCGTTCTTTCCACACGCCGAGAATATCATTTTCGGCGAGTCGATCGTACGTGACTTTCCGGACTTACCGAACGTCTCTTTCCACCTTTTTCACGCTTACTGTCATCACTCGCCTGTACACCAATTTCCACCAATTCGGCACTCGGGGGAGGGACTGCCTATGCGTAATTGACGAGTAAATGTTAACCGTTGGATGGGAGCATTTTTTTATTCGGTCAGAAGGCAAATTGACGAACTCGGTTTTCTTTTTTAAAAAAATCGTATATAAAAATAAAATTTCAAACTTCAATTCAGAATTCAAAATGATTAGCATCGAAGTGATTTCACGTATATTGTATCTGTTCGTAATGTTTCTCAAGATTCTTAATTCTAATAATATGAGGAGAATTAGGGTGTAACTTTTCAAAGAATCGAAATGATTGGTATCGTTGGATCGGGTCAGTTTTTTGTTTCACCCATTCTGATTAGAAGGCAGGACGAAGTGGAATTAAATTTCGAAATACGAGTGAAATATACGAATATGTGCGAACGAGGAAGTTGGGTATTTAGACGACGGATTCACGTGGCGAGGCATCTGTTGGACAACTTAACAACCACCCTCCCTTTGTCAACCCTCCTTCCGTCCCCCTTTTATACTGTAGCTCTGCGGGATGATACACGGCTGAGACGCCCCGTGGCTTTTTCTTTTTCTCTTTTTTTATATTTCTCTCTTTACCGACAAATAAGGGCTACCGTACGAATATATTATCCGCGTAACGAGCAGTACACGCACCATGCAATTAGGCAGGCTGGAAATTGTATCGTTCTATCCAGAATTACGAATATTTCGCTACACCTATTAAAATTTTTACACCAATTTTTCGTGACACACGCTTCGTTCGGACGGCTTCCGCGAACATGACCGTCATTTTCGAATCTTGGATCAAATTTTACGATCGATTTCCTGCCACGTTAGAAGCAACTGGTCCAACACGCTGATTTATTGCTGCTTATGGGATTGCTTAAAATAGCTCGTAAATGACTGAGAAAGTCATTGAAAACAAGTCGTAAATGTTGAAAGATTACATTGTTACGTTTTATCGCTCCAAATTCTTGGTAAATCTATAAATGTTTTTTTCATTTTCGTGAAAAAGAAAAAAACGTTTCGCGATGTAGAAAAATTTATAATGGCAATCTTTTTCATCAATATTTAAAATTATAATATTATTTATTTTACATAGTTTAGATACGAATGGGATATTAAAATGTTTTCATTACGACGTGGAAATGTTTTGTAAAAATTTAAACTCCATTCCATAAAAATAATTTAAAATAGACCAGAGATTCTTCGGAGAGGTTATAGAAGAGAAATATAAATACTCGTTTCACGCTTATTTTAAATTAAAAAGTCGTTCGAAATAGGTTTTAAAATTCCCATTAAAGTGTTCCGGTTATTAAAAAGTGGTCAAGCGGACGATCGTAAAAGTAACCTAAGAAAATGAATATTTGGCTCTAAGACAAGCTTAGTTAAGAAGTTTGTAAGACCAACTAAATTTTTTATCAGCGGTCCTTTATTCGAATGTCAATAATACTTATATAACTCTTATATTAACCTTAAAATTATCGTAATTTCTCGATCGTTACTGCTTTTTCCACAGCAATTAACAGGATTATCGTTCGTCGGGCCGTGATAAAGGAAAGTAAGCCGGGTGGGAGTGTTTTTTAATACAAAAATAAGGGGTACCGCGTGTTGGACACTAACGACTTCGACAACGCACGCACCATTAGCTCGTATCCTCCAACCGTGGTACTTGGTTTGTCTACCTATTTTAACCGATGTAAGAGCCGCGTGTCTCTCGTCCATCTTTTTACTGTTTTAACCACGGGGGACCGAAACGTTTCTACGCCGGGCACGTGCCTCTTTTTTTTTTTTTTTTTTTTTTCAAATTAATACCGTCGAAGCATTTCTAGCCGATTTGCGACAATGAAAGTTTCGTCGTGAATCACACTCCTCATAAAATGTATCTTTTTCGAAGCTTAGAAAACGAATGCTTTACTTAGACATTTAGAAAAAGTAAAAACATATTATTGAGAAGAATTATCCATCTACCGCGATAAAGAAGAAGAAAGAAAAGAAATTCTTTTCTTGTGTATAGCGAAGCATTATCGTGAAATTGTTAATAATAAAGGAAAGTAAAAAAAGGTAAAAGAAAATCCTCTCTGATAATGAAGAAAAATAATAATCAGCGTAGAGAAGAGAAATTTTGTACATCGGTAGACGTAGATACATCAAAATAGAGGGAGAAACTTCTCCTGACATTCACGTGTCCAACGTGGACGCCGACGATGTCATTAAACTCCTCGTTACGGGGAGCCGAAGCTAAACCAACTCGTACCCGGGTGTAGCTGAACTAACGGCGAGGGTACACGACCCAACACCGACCCGGTACCGGAGCTTTATAGCCAGACAGGATTCACCTCGGTGATTGGTTACATTACCGATACGCGCGTCTCTCATCACGGCGATGCTGTTACAGCAATCGCGGTGAAACTCTCTGCCCTGTCCTCTCCTCGACGAAAACAACACCATAGAAACCATCTGCAAGGAACACCTTCCTTCTTTCTTTCTTTCTTTCTCCTCCTTCGTTCGCTCCTCCTCTTCCTTCTTTCTCGCAATTTTTATTGGCGATCCTTTTTTCTTCGTTTTGCGACTTTTCCAAGAGATTGAACGTTCTTTCCTCTTTTCTTTTCTTTTTTTTTTTTTTTTTTTTTTTTTTGAATTATATGCACGTATTGATATAATTGAAATGAATAGTCAAAGTCCACAAGCGCATATACGAATTAAAATTTGCATCTAAAAATTTAATAACAAGGATTTGTATCAAGTTTTCAATGAAATATAATAAATAATTATAAATAAATAATAATAATAATAAATGTATGGCAAATGGGTTGGACGATGTATTCGGAAATCTTGGGAATTGATCAGTCCGGATGTCACATTTTGTCTGCGCGGCATGTTCTCACCCTTGTTGTTGGGGTTTCGTGCCCCGTTTGCACCCGATACACGCATAACACTCGCACGTGCGTTAAACATACACACTTCCAGCACCCCATCTTTCTCATCTACGTCTCCTTCCCTTCAATTTTCTCTTCTCTCCTACGGATCTCGACTCTGTTTCATCGAACCATTTGTCTCTGCGGTTACCAATGCAGTTACAGCTTCATCCACGTAGTATGATTACCATTTATCACTTACCATTGTTCAGTGAAATGTAGTCAATATCGAGTAGTAGTTGGCGATTCGAATTTCGTATTGAATTTTTTACATAATCCTGTATATAACAAAAGATTAACTATTAATAAAATATTAATTCTTACGCGTAAAATTTATTTAAAAAAAAATATCAATTTTCCAAAATAATAAATAAACATCACGCTCACGTGTATTAACATGCAGCACACAATTCTGGAATAATTCTTCGAAAAAGTAGTCGAAACGATAATCGGAGAATTTTCGTTCACAGAGGATCTGAGCGGAGCAGAACGGAGAGTTTCTCAATCGGAGCTTTTGTGAAACAGCTGTTTCTACGGTTGTCGCGCCTCGTTACCGGCCTTTTTTCCTCCACCCTGAAACAAGAAGCTGGCATCAGGACGTCGTTATAACGCGAGGCGTCCACTTTTCCACACGCTCCTATACGTTCATCCTCTTACTCACCCCATCGTCCTCGAGCCGCCGCTGTCGTCCGTGGTCCTTGTGTGCTGCAAATAAACCTCTCCTGGAAACAAACAGGGACAAACTGGACTTCCACTGGACAAATTGACACCCCTAACAGACACGTATGTACGATGCCTGGGACTGCCTCTCTCCTGTTTTCACGATTCGACCGTGTTGATCCACTTTGCGCGCTTGTTTAAAGACTAAATAGTACAACTGTTGTGCTTCGTGAAATGTATATAATAACTTTCGTTTGGGATTATTATTCGATCCGCGAAACATCGTTAACCGTAATGAATGTAAAAGTTGGAGTGGATGAAAATTGCCACGCGTGGGTATATCGAAATTTTCGAAGATGAAGTTCAACGATAAGTTCGATTCAAACATGTCCTTCTGACTATCACTGAATTGAACATGCTGCGATAGATATATATTTATAAAGTGATAGTCACGTGGCAGACAGTGATACAATATCAGAACACGATTCCGCCACGTGTCGCTCGACGTGAGTTCTGTAACAGCACTTTCGCTTTATTATAATACACCCCTAAGTCCATGTCCCCAGCGATCATAATCGCATTTGGCTTCTGCCTTTCACACAGAAATCACGTCCTAACACGAATCATGTTACATACTAGTTTCTGTGCTAGTAAAACAGTACGAGAAAATTCTAAAGAGAAATTAAAACTTGGATATTCATTCATTATTCGTTATTGAAATGTTATTATTTTTTTTTTTTTTTGCTAATGTGGAGTTAAAAGTTCGATATTTTTCTTTTTGCATTTAACATTTATATTACAGCTTATTATTATTAGTTATTATTAGTTGAACGTTGATCTTTTTCGTTTAAATTATGAATTGAATAATAATTTAATATTTTAGCAATTAAAATTTAAAGTTTGTGTAACTTGAATGTTACATGGATTTGAATGAGAAATTGTATTTCTGGATACAACAGAGATTGAAAAAAGGATATTTGTACAAGAGTTTCTAAACGATTTAAGAAAGGTTTTTGTGAAAAATGGTTGTGCTTCAATCGTTTACGTGAAAACATAGAGAAATATGAAAGAGAAGCCAGTGAGGAGAAAGCGCCAAATGGCCTGCTATACCTTCCAGCCGCATGAAATTGACCCATAAATTCATGTTACATGATTTACTGTACCTTACAAACTGACAGACCAGAGAAATATTCGGTGCGAATACTCGGTCAACGTTCAATTACTACTGTAGCCACAGATTTTCAAAACATCATAGAATCACGGCAATATAACATTGAATATCCAATTTTACCTAGATAATATCAGCGGTCCAGGGTTGATTCTTATTATTTACAATAGCCTCCATAAATTTTAATCAAGCACAAACTGCTCTGCTTGATGAAGATTTTCAATATTCCATCATTGGCTAAAAAAATATTAAAATTACATTAAATTACATATTACATGAAATTACATGAAATTACATAAAAATGTTGACATCTGAATTTTTTAACGTTATAATATTTTTATTAAAATTTATCATATTATTTAAATTTACTTAATCTTACCCATTATCGTTCGTAATTCTCCCAAAAATTTCTACTGTTTGTTTTGTTCGATGATTAAGAAAGATTCTGTTCCATATTCTAGTATTTCGAAAGGGTCGTCGATGAAAGATCCCACGACCACCCGAACGAGGCCCGCATCTTGACATCCGCCGGTACACTATTTAGCGATAATTTACTCGTCGTCGTCACGGAATACCATCGAAAAATTCAGAATACCGTGGTCGTTGACACCGAGAGATCAGGCTTTGAATCCCACGGGTATATTGTTGTCCAATGACACGTCTGTCTATTTACACGTCGTACGCCAAAATTGCATGTTCCGACAGCGTAAATACGCCCGTATACGCCTCGAGATCCAGGGGTAATATCGACGAGTGGTTTCTCTTTTTTATCCGCCGTTCATGTAACGCAATTCGTATTTATCGAATAAATTTATTCGATAATATTAAATATTAAATATTGAATATTTTTAAATCGTTATTATACAATATATAATTGAAATATTTTTATAAATATTTTCTAAGATTTCAAAATTTTTTTTAAAAGCTGCAAAAATGAAGAAATTCTCGTCTCGTACAATAATAGAAGGATTAGACGATTAGGTGTCGAGGGATCAATTTTCTTTCTTCTTCAACCGCGTTATTCAATTCTATCAAAAGAATTTTTTCCGCTTCTTCCCATGTTTTTTTTCTTTCTCTTTTAATAGTATTAAACCTTTCGTGTATCGGTGGAAAAAAGGTACATTTATCTCGTTGCACGATTCATTCTTCTAAAAAAAAAAAAAAAAAAAAAAAA